AAAATGTAAAAAAAAAATACCGGAAACAATCGTCGGAATGCCGGCTCAAAATGTTTTTATACCCTCAACCATATGGTGGCTACACAGGATATATGTATTTTGACACCTCCAAAACGTGCGTCATCGAAATAACGGTTTTAGAACCTAGGTCTCTTTGGACCAAATCCCTTTTAGGACATTTGGAATCGATCTAGAGATGTCCGTCCGTCCGTATGTCTGTCTGGCTTGGTGGTGCGCACTATAACTCTCGAAGCGAGTATCCGATATGATCCAAACTTGGTGCATTGTAATATTATTGTGAAACTTAGATCTCGTTCGGAGATAGGAAATATCGGTCCACCCCTTCACAAAATATCAATATTTTCAAAGAAAATATTTTACTGCACGGAAAGTGAAGCGATAATCCGATTTTGCTCCAACTTTGCAAATCCTAATATTTGTATCAATGCTACCTCAGGTGAGAAAATGGACAATATCGGTGCACTCCATCAAGTACCTCCCCCACAAACGGTCATAGTTTTGAATAATTATAACTCTTATGAAATGTGATGTAAATGTCCGACTGTCTTCAACACACATCACAATATTTTTATATATCCAAGGTCTGGTGTAAAGATGGGATATATGTCTACCTCCACTCCTTCTGGTTTCTCTCCCACAAAGGGTCAAAATTGTGAATATTCATGAAGCTCATAAAACACGAAATTAACATCCGATTCCGTTCAGACTTGGCACATTTCAATATTTCCATCAACGCAAGATCTGTTATAAAGATGGTAGAGATCGGACTGTTCCTTCTGAGACCTCCCCTACAAAGGGTTAAAGTTTTGAATAACCAAAACGATCATAAAATCCGAAATAAGCACTCGGCTCTCCTCAAATTACATACATCACAATATTTTTATTAACCCAAGGTATGGTGTGAAGATAGAATATATCGGTCCACTCCTTCTAGTACCTCCCCCACAAAATGGTAAAAATTTGGAATATTCATGAAGCTCATAAAACACGAAATTAACATCCGATTCCGTTCAGACTTGGCACATTTCAATATTTCCATCAACGCAAGATCTGTTATAAAGATGGTAGAGATCGGAATGTTCCTTCTGAGACCTCCCCCACAAAGGGTTAAAGCTTTGAATAACCAAAACGATCATAAAATCCGAAATAAGCACTCGGCTCTCCTCAAATTACATACATCACAATATTTTTATTAACCCAAGGTATGGTGTGAAGATAGAATATATCGGTCCACTCCTTCTAGTACCTCCCCCACAAAATGGTAAAAATTTGGAATATTCATGAAGCTCATAAAACACGAAATTAACATCCGATTCCGTTCAGACTTGGTACATCTCAATATTTCTACCAACACAAGATCTGTTATAAAGATGGTAGAGATCGGATCATTTCTTCTGGTACCTCTCCCACAAAGGGTCAACGTTTTGAATAATCAAAACGATCATATAATCCGAAATAGATTTCCTTCCAATTTTGCACATATCAATATTTTATCTGTATTAGATGAAGTATGAAAATGGAATACTTGGGTTCGCTATATCTGTTTCCTGTCGCATATTTCCACATTTTCCAAAAATTTGCACACAACTCATAAAGTACAGGAAACAGTCGATATAGTCCAAATCCGATCGTTATAAGTGGGAGTCTTTATGGACGTTTTAGGGAGAAGGCAGTATACATAGTTTAGAGGCTCATCTTCATATTTTTTTGCAGGAACAAATATAATTTTATTGTGGATGTCCGAAAAGTAATCCGTATCTAGATAAAAAGAAGAGAGTTTTTTTTTTTAATTTCTGTTGGGAGTATTTAAAGGACGGCCTACGCCAGAAAAGGGCGTAGACGACCAAAAGAAGGGTTTATACTATAAATAGATTCGTTACAGCTGGCCCGAAGAGAATCTTACCAGATAATTAGAAGAGGATATAGGTGGTCATAATAAGGACTTTATAAAATTCATTATGAGAGCATAGATAGACGATCATGTCGGTATTCTGCTCACCCAGAAGAGAGTCTCCCTCTGCTGGGTGGCCAGAATACCGACATGAACTGTCAAATATATAATTTCACAATAGCCACTTCATAATCTCCCAGATGGACAATCGAATTGGCAAATTTCTGCATACCACCTGACATTTACAAAACAGGTGTTTATTTCTCTGCGATTTAAAAAAAAAACTTTTCATTTGATTAGATATTTTCACGAGCTCCGTCTCTATTCTGCTCTTGTAAACTAAAGTTGTAATTATTTTAGCAAAATTCTTGGCCCTAAATTGTGGGTCATTTCCTTTATTTGGCACCACAAAACCTAAAATAACAAAACTTTGTGTGGTGCGCTAAGTCATGCGGCTGGGGGTTTGTGTGTATGGTAGTTAGTGGTGGCATCTAATCACTCTTGCTTGATGGTTCTTCTTGTTGGTTTGCCATTGGAGTAGACGACTAATGCATTCAACCAAAACATTTGACATTGAATTTGTTGTTGTTGTTATTGTATTTAATACTTTGGCAACTGGGTAACCCGAAAGATTTTTATAGATTTTTTTTGTGGGTTTGTCCATAACACAAATTGATGAATGAATGGAATTTTTTTGTTATTCCAGTTGAATTTGTTTTTTTTTTTGTGTAATGGCAATTTGTAACTTGCTTTTTCAAAAAAAAAAAAAATAAAAAATATACTAAAGATGGGGTGGTGTCGGTTTTTTTTTTCATTTTAAAATCGTATAATTCAAAATGAAACAAGTGGGTTGTTTTATTTTTTTTTTTTATTCTGAGGTGTGTGTTTTTCTCTCATTGTTTGGTTTAATGAGTTTTCACGAATGTAAACATTGTAAATAAATCATTTATTTAAATTTAATGGGGTTTAATAAACCTATTTAATTTGTTAATAGAACAATCAACGGATATATGTTCGGTCTTTTAAGCTAAACGATTTAGAGAATTTGTAATTAAATAACAACTACAAAAGCTGTAAATTCGGACGGGTCAAACTTTGAATACCCTCCACCAATTGGAACGAATTTGGCAAATTTTCAAAAAAAAAAAAAAAGAAAAAAAAATAAAATCCGTTAAAAATTCTGGTAAAATCTTAAACCCTGGACCTGCACAGACAGTGTTCTGTCATAGACTGTAGTATACATTACGAACTCTAAATACCAAATTTGATACAATTCCGGCGAATAATGCCGAATATCCGGAGGTGGCGTTATACGAAGGCGTGGACCTGCACAGGCAATTTTCTGTCATAGGCTGTAGTATCCATTACGAACTTCAAATACCAATATTGAAGCAATTCCGCTGGATAACGTTGCTAAAATCATGAAAATACTGAATATTGGGGCTACACTTATATGGGGGCTATACGAAGACGTGGATCTGCACAGACAATTTTCTGTCATAGGCTGTAGTATACATTTCGAACTTCAAATACCAAATTTGAAACAATTCCACTGGATAATGTTGCTAAAATAATCGAAATACTGAATATCAGGAGGTATCGTTATATGGGGGCTTTACGAAGACGTGGACCTGAACAGGCAATTTTCTGTCATAGGCTGTAGTATCCATTACGAACTTCAAACGCCAAATTTGAAACAATTCCGCTGGATAATGTTGCTAAAATCATCAAAATAGCGAATATCAGGGGCTACACTTTTATGGGGGCTATACGAAGACGTGGGCCTGCACAGACAATTTTCTGTCATAGGCTGCAGTATCCATTACGAACTTCAAATACCAAATTTGAAACAATTCCGCTGGATAATATTGCTAAAATCATCAAAATAGTGAATATCGGGGGCTACACTTATATGGGGGCTATACGAAGACGTGGGCCTACACAGACAATTTTCTGTCATATGCTGTAGTATTTATTGCGAACTTCAAATCCCAAATTTGAAACATTTCCGGTGTATAATGTTGCTAAAATCACCAAAATACTGAATATCGTGGGCTACACTTATATGGGGGCTATACGAAGACGTGGACCTACACAAACAATTTTCTGTCGTAGGCTGTAGTATCCATTACGAACTTCAAACGCCAAATTTAAAACAATTCCGGTGAATAATGTAGCTAAAATCATCAAAATACCGAATATCGGGAGGTGTCGTTATATGGGGGCTATACGAAGGCGTGAACCTGCTAATTTTCTGCCTTAGGTTGTAGTATCTCTTACGAACTTCAAATACCAAATTTGAAACAATTCCGGTGAATAATGTCACTAAAATCATCAAAATAGCCAATATCGGGAGGTACCGTTGTATGGGGGCTATACGAAGACGAGGACCTGCACAGACAATTTTCTGTCATAGGCTGTAGTATCCATTACGAACTTCAAATACCAAATTTTAAACAATTCCGGTGGATAATGTTGCTAAAATCACCAAAATACTGAATATCGTGGGCTACACTTATATGGGGGATATACGAAGACGTGGACCTACACAAACAATTTTCTGTCTTAGGCTGTAGTATCCATTACGAACTTCAAACGCCAAATTTAAAACAATTCCGGTGAATAATGTAGCTAAAATCACCAAAATACCGAAAATAGGGATATGCGGTTATATGGGGGCTATACCAAAACGTAGACCTACATGGCCCATTTTTAATACCAGAAGTCCTGCAGACATAATATACATTTGAGTAAAATTTTATCAATCTACTTCATTTCGTTTGGAAACTAGAGTGAATTCCACAGACGTATAGCCGGACGGGCATCGCTAAATCGAAATAGAAATTTATGCTGATCAACAAAAATATATATAATTTGTGGGGTTTAAAATGTATATTTCGAGAAGTGACAAACTTAATATACCCTCCATACCATGGTGGAGGGTATACAAAATTTAATTAATTTCAGATTTTTATAATTTTTTGAGGAAAATTTAAATTTTTTACTTTTTGAAAATCTTTCTTTATTTTCAAAATTTACCATATTAATTATTTGCCAACCCTTTTTCTATTTCTCTCCCCCTCTTTAGATATACCGCCAAACCATTGGTTCAAACCATATTCGAAGGTGGCATGGCCACATGCTTTGCTTATGGTCAAACGGGTTCGGGTAAAACACACACCATGGGTGGTGAATTCAATGGCAAGATACAGGATTGTAAAAATGGTATATATGCAATGGCAGCTAAGGATGTATTCAATTATCTCAATGGACCACGGTATCGTCACTTGAATTTGGTTGTCTCGGCCAGTTTCTTTGAAATCTATAGTGGCAAAGTAAGACGTCCTGCAAATGTTCTTTTCATAACAAAACCCTACAGTAACTCATTTCCTTATTTGCTTGCAGGTTTTTGATTTACTCTCCGATAAACAAAAACTTCGCGTACTAGAAGATGGCAAACAGCAGGTCCAAGTTGTTGGTCTCACCGAGAAGGTAGTCGACAGTGTTGAAGAAGTGCTCAAACTAATTCAGCACGGCAACAATGCTCGCACCTCCGGCCAGACCTCAGCCAACGCGAACTCATCCCGTTCGCATGCAGTATTCCAAATAGTTCTACGTCCACCGGGCTCGACAAAAATCCACGGCAAATTCTCTTTCATTGATTTGGCCGGCAATGAACGTGGTGCTGACACATCGTCCGCAAATCGCCAGACTCGCATGGAGGGTGCTGAAATCAATAAATCCCTGTTGGCTCTCAAGGAATGTATACGTGCTTTGGGCAAACAATCTGCCCATCTACCGTTCCGTGTGTCAAAGCTAACCCAAGTACTGCGTGATTCGTTTATCGGTGAGAAGAGTAAGACCTGCATGATTGCCATGATATCGCCGGGTTTAAGTTCATGTGAACATACCCTAAACACATTGCGCTATGCGGATCGTGTCAAAGAGCTGGTGGTTAAGGAGTTGCCCGATGTGTTGCGTGAAGAGGATGCCGAACAGCTGATGTACGAGGAGGATGAGGAGACCAATAATATACAGCATGTCCAACAGAAGCCAATGCGACATAATAATCACACAAATCACAATAACAACAATAACAATAAGAATGGTCAAATGTCGGCAAATGACTTGGCATTGTTGCGTTCGTTGAGCGTAAGTATTAAAGGCCAAACTTTTTTTTTTTGGCAATAATAGCATAAGAATTTCGTTAAGGTCGCATGTAAAAATCCTCCTTTTGGGTCACCTAGTTTGGGTGCCTATATGGACTCTTTGAAAGTCTTTTTTTGGACATGTAAATGCTCAACACTACTTCCTGGTCGTCTATAAAGGCTCATTTTGCTTTTCTAGAAAATTTTCATTTGTTTTTTCTTTAGATTCTTAGGCCGCTTTACCTTCAAATCGACTATGCCTTTGGCTGAGGGTATAGCCATAGGGCTATCATTTGGTAAGACCAAAATGTGTCTCATCCAAATAACAGTTTTAGACCCTCTTTGGACCAAATCCTTTGTTTGGGCATTTGGCGTCAATCTAGCGATGTCCGTCCGTCCGTCTATCCGTCTGGCTGGGGCGCACGATAACTCTCTAGGGGAATATACGATTTGATCCAAACTTGGTACATCGTAATATTATTGTCAAACTTAGATCGAGCTCGGAGATGGACAATATCGGTCCCCTCCTTCTGGTACCTGCCCCACAAAATGTCAACATTTGCAAAGAAAATAATTTACTGCACAGAAGAAGACACGATAATCCGATTTTGCTCTAACTTTGCACATCCTAATATTTGCATCAGCGCTAGGTCAGGTGTGAAAATGGACACAATCGGTGCACTCCATCAAGTACCTCCCCCACAAAGGGTCAAAATTTGGGAAAATTATAATTCTTATAAAATATGAAGTCTATGTCCGATTGTCTTCAAATTACACACATCATAATATTTTTATTAAGCCAAGGTATGGTGTGAAAATGAAAAATATCGGTCCTCTCTTTCTGGTAGCTCCCCCACAAAGGATCAAAATTTGGAAAATTCATGAAGCTTCATAAACCACGAAATTAACATCCGATTCCACTCAGACTTGGCAGAACTCAATATTTCCATCAACACAAGATCTGTTATAAAGATGGTAGAGATCCGACCTTTCCTTCTGGTACCTCCCCTACAAGGGGTCAAAGTTTTGAATTATCAAAACGATTATAAAATCCGAAATAAGCATCCGGTTCTCTTCTAATGACACACATCACAATATTTTTATTGGCCCAATGTGTGGTGTGAAAATGGGATATATCGGTCCACTCCTTCTGGTACCTCCCCCACAAAGGTTCAAAATTTTGAATATCTATGAAGCTCATAAAACGCGAAAATGACGTCCGATGTCATTCAGACTTGCAAAATCTCAATATTTCTATCAACACAAGATTTGTTATAAAGATGATACGGATCGGACCATTCCTTCGGGTACCTCCCCCACGAACGGTCAAAATTTTGAATAATCAAAACGATCATAAAATCCGAAATAAGCTTCCGGTTCTCTTCATATTTCACACATTACAATATTTTTATTACCCCAAGGTCTGGTGTGAAGATGGAATATACCGGTTCACTCCTTCTGGTACCTCCCCCACAAAGCGTTAAAAATTTTAATAACCAAAACGATCATAAAATCCGAAATAAGCATCCGGTTCCCTTCAAATTACACACATCACAATATTTTTATTGGACCAAGGTCTGGTGTAAAGGAGGGATATATCGGTCCACTCCTTCTGGTACCTCCCCCACATAGGGTTCACAATTTTGAATATTCATGAAGCTCATAAATCGCGAAATGACATCCGATTCCATTCAGACTTGGCACAGCTAAATATTTCCATCAACGTAAGATTTGTTCTAAATAAGGTGAAAATCGGAACATTCCTTCTGGTACCTCCCCCACAAAAACGCTCAAAGAAAGCGAAATCAGCATCTAAATTCAGCTATCCATCCATCTCCTCAAATTTCCCACATAGAAACATTTTTGCACAACACAAGATCTTTGCTGAAGATGATATATATCTGGCAACCCCTTCTGATACCTCAACCACAAAGGGTAACAATTTCTAATACTTATATCTGTCATAACTTGCGAAACAAGTCGGCGATTCTTTACAACTTGCCATGTCTAAATATTTCTCTTAACCAGAAATCTGATATATGAATATGTAATTAATCGGAATTTATGATTTCGTCTAAAATTGGACATAAATGTTCGATTTCCTTCAAATATTTGCCCATACCAATATTTTTATCTGCATTAGATGAAGTATGGAAATGATGGAGTACTTCGGACTCACGCATATTTCCATATTTTCCAAAAATTTGCGTATATCTCATATAAAGTATAGGAAATAGCCGATATAGTCCAAATCTGGCCCATTGTAATATTTATATCAGTCTTAGGTCAAATAGGAATAGGGCAATATTGGCCAATTGCTTTGGAACCTCCCCCAATAAAGGTTTCAACAGTCATTCATCATAACTCAAGGCTGGGGGTTAAAAATCTGTCGGCAAACCCGACTGATACCATTTTACTTGTTGTTGTTATTATTATTAATTTTTTTTCTCTCCTCCCTCCCCCCAGGAACATGATATGTCTGATGAACTATTGGATCAACATGCTGCTATATCGGATTTACAGCAAACCGAAGAAATGGTGGTCGACCAGCATCGTGCTATCAATGATTTCCTATCACAATTCTTACCAGAATCCATGAGACTCTATAATCTAACCAATTATGTGGACTATGACCAGGATTCCTATTGTAAAGAGGGCGAAGCCTATTTCACACAATTAGCCGAGATGGCAACAAGTTGTCGAGATCTAATGGCCGACTTCCGCACAAAATTGGCCAAAGAAGAGATGCTGTCGTGTACGGTCAAGCCACCAGGCAAACGTTAAGAAGAAACTGAAATTAAAAAGTGAAAACTGTCTTGCGCAACAACATGTGTATGAGCTGATTGATGATGATGATAATAACGGAGAAGAAGATCAAAGAAGCATCAAAAGATTACAAGAAGAAATACTCTCTCTCTCTCACTTTAAACAGAAAAGAAAAAAAAAAAGAAAATGAAAACAAAAACTATTTTAAATATTAAAAAAAAAAGAAACAAAAGCAAGAGAAGAAGATTAATGATAGCAACCAGCCTCTAGTAGTAGTTATATAATTAACTTTAAATGTCATATATTATATACATTACAAAACCAACAAAAAAACCAGAAAACATTAAAAAAATTAACAGTGCCGTTAGAAAATGCACTTAAAAACAAAATTTCAATTAACACATAACAATTTTACGTTAAAAACAAACTCAAATAAGACAAAATGCAAGAAAACGACGGGACACTTTCACAGAAAAAAAAAAAAACAAGAACAACAACACCCTACAAAACGACTAGCAACAAAAGAAATGAAAACAGAATCTTCTTCCCTACCAACGAAACATAAAGACACTATATAATTCCTTTTTTATTCCTAACTAAAACTACAACAATGCCACCCTTCATTCACCCCCTTCAAACATTACCAATAAGGCCCCCTTCTCTTTTTCTATTTTTTTTTTGTTCTTTACTTACCCCTCAAATTTACACACATGAGATTTGTGATAATACCGGAAGATGAGAACTCGTTATATAAATTCTATTAATGAAATCTTGTTTTGTTTATGTTCTATGTTATATAAATTTCAAATTAAACTATTTCTAAAAAAACTAATGTTTTCTTTCACTTCAGCTTCATTTCCATTCAAAAGCAAAAAAAAAAAACAACTTCCTATCTATTTTTAATCTCCTCCCTACCACTCACTCTCTAGTTCTTTTTTTATAAATATTTTAAAATTAAAACAAAACAAAAACAGGACTTTTTGTTTCCTATAATAATTTTTTGTCGCATCGCATATACTTATATTTATTATTATTTGTTTAACTTTTTTTATACTACTTCTATTTACTACTACTACTATTACTAGAAAACCGTAAAAAACAACCACAACTACCCAATATGTTTATTACTTATTCTAATTTTAAATGATATTAACTATAATTATTTTTATTTTATTTTTAATATTATTACAAAAACAACACAAGGAAATCAATCAAAACGCTAAACAAAAAAATCGAAAGCAAACAAAAAAATAATCCATGAAAAAAATATTATATTCCCCTGCAAAATTTTATAAAAAAAACCCCAACAACAACAAGTATTATATATTCTACAACCGTTGCCGCTTAAGAAAGGAAATAAGTCATCAAGGCTGTTTTTCCCAATAAACAAATGCTTTCACAATAACAAGAAAAAACAACCGTTTGACAGGATATCCTTTTTTGGGAAAATAAAATAAAAAGACATTAATAAATTATAAAAAAATGAAAACTTTTTTAATATTTTTATTTCTTTCTATTTATTTTAAAGACTACAAACCAGAAGACTATGTTCCAGAACTGCAGAAATATAAAAGTTTCCACTACGATAAGCGATTTTTCCTTTATGATATCGAAGAAAATTGCAAAAAGTAGTAGATTCTTGCAGGTACTGTGGAACAGAACCATTTTCAACTTTAATTGAAAAGAAAATAAAAGGGCTGTTCCAGAACCTGTACAAATCTACTAGTTTTGCAACTTTTTGGATATCGTAAAGAAAAACTCGGTTATTGTAGTAAAAGCTTTTACATTCTCGCAGTTCTGCAACAGACCAAAAAGTTCATTACTTTTTTTTAAAAAAAAAATTCCAGATCTACCGAGAACAATTTTCCATAAACATAAGTTATCGATGGCGAATTTTATGTTTAACGATTTATCTGGGCAATGAACTTCTTCTGAATTGAGATAAATTCTTTTACATAAATAAAAGTTATCGCATATATTTGATAAGAAAGTTTTCCAAAAAGAAACATTTTTCTCAAAAAAAAAAAAAAAAAAAAAAAAAACGATAACAAATTTCTCTAAAAGTAACTTCCATCCCAAAAGAAAACCAATAATTGGTTTGTTCTAATTCTATGTTATCAATAAGAAAATTTCCAAAAAGAAGAAGTTTTCTCAAAAAAAAGAAAATCGATAAAAAATTTCTCTAAAAGTAACTTCCATTCCAAAAGAAAACCAATATTTGGACTTTTCCAGAAGCTTCAAGAATCTACTAGTTTTGCAATTTTCTTCGATTTCATAAAGGGAAAATTGGTTATCGTAGTAAAAAATGTCTAGATTCTAGAATATCTAGAATGTCAGTTCTGGAACAGACCAAATAAATATAATAACTTTTAGGAATGAAAATTGATCGAAAACACCTCGACAACAAGTTTTATCCTAAAAAAGATCGATAAGAACTTTTCTCTGACGAAAAATTGTCAATTATAATTTTTCTGTAGAGAAGAGATAACCAATTTTCTGTAGAGAAGAGTTATCGATACCAACTTAATGTGTCGATAACTTTTCTATAGAGATAACAACTTTTCTTTAGAGAAAATCTATCGATAACAACTTTATTTTGAAATAAAATTATCGATTAGAACTGTTGTATATAGAATAGTTATCGGTAACATATTTTTTGTTGGGAAATGCCGTCGATAACAACGTTTGTATAGAGCGAAGACATCGACAACAACGTTCTTATAAAGAAATGCTGTCGATAACAACTTTTCTATAAGAAAAGCTGTCGATAACAATTTTTCTATAAAGAAAAGCTGTCGATAACAAATTTTTTATAGCGAAAAGCTGTCGATAACAACTTTTCTACAAAGGAAAGCTGTCAACAACAACTTTTCTATAAAGAAAAGCGGTCGATAACAACTTTTCTATAAAGAAAAGCTGTCGATAACAAATTTTCTATAAAGAAAAGCTGTCGGTAACAACTTTTCTATAAAGACTGTCGATAACAACTTTTCTATAATGTAAAGCTGTCGATAAAATCTTTTCTATAAAGACTGTCGATAACAACTTTTCTATAATGTAAAGCTGTCGATTACACCGTTTCTATAAAGAAAAGCTGTCGATAGCAACTTCATTGTGATGTAAATTATCGATGACATCTTTTCTATAGCAAAAAATCTGTCGATAATAACATTCCCATATAAGAGCTAAGTCGATTAAAATGTTCCTAAAGAGAAAATTTTGTCGATAACAAAAGCTCAATGGGAAAACGTTTTTATAGACAAATGTTGTCGATAACAACATTACTTTGAAGAAAAAGTAACGATAAGATCTATTGTATATAGAATAGCTGTCGACAACAAGGCAACAGCATTTCTATAGAGAAAGCCTGGCGTTGATAATTTTATTTTGAACTAAAGTGATAGTTGTAGTAGAAATGTTCCATTTTCTATAAAGAAAAGTAGTCTATAACAACGCTTTTAAAGAGGAAAGATATCGACAACAACAATTGCTATAGAAAAATGATGTCGATAAAAATTCTCTATAGAGAACTTATCGATACCAGTTTTTATATTAAAAAGTTGTAGAAAACAACCTTTCTATAGAGAATAAACAGTCGATAAAATGGTACAATAAAAAGGTAACCAGCTACCAGCTGACTACATTTTTTTTTCTAAGTGTTCCCGACTGCTGCCAATTTTGTGTATGTATTTATTGTTTTGAAAAAATGAAAACATAATATTTTCAAAACCAATGATTGGAAGACACTTAAATTGCAGCTCGCGCATTGAAGCTATTAACCAGTTTAGCCATGAAATTGAAAGATTGAACAGTTTGGATCATATTTTTGGGCGAAAATCCAGGCATATCATTCATTTTTTTCGCGCTATTCAACTCATTTTAAAAATGAGGAAAAATGTAAAAAAAATTAAAACAACTTTTTGCATATAATTTTGAATGAGTCTGACAGGAAGAGGGCATAGCTCCAGAGCTGTATTTCTGTACTTTTACGAAGCTGTTCTACCTCCTTATTGTACCATGGTCGATAACAACTTTAAGTTATATAATCGATAACATATTTTCTACAGAGAAGGTATGTCGTTAACAACGTTCCAATTGGGGAAATTTTTTTTTCTATAGAAATAGTTGCCGATAACATTTTTTTATAGAAAAGAAGATGTCGATAGCAATTTGTTATAGAGAAAAAATCTCGATAACCACAATATCTATAGAGAACAGTCATCGATTATCAAGTTTTAATAGAGAAAAGATACCGACAACAACGTTGCTATAGAAAAACGATGGATAACATGTTTTTCGATAACAATTGTCTTCTTTACCCATAGAAAAGGTTATTAGCATTTGTAAATGCATGCGAATTAACAGTCTGTTCCAGAAGTGCAAGAATGGAAAAGTTTTTTCTACGATAACCGTTTCCGTTTATGATCCGTTTTTCCGTTTATGATATCGAAAAAATGGTAAAAATTATAGATTCTTGCAGATTCTGGAAGATAGAATATGGTCTGTTCCAGAACTGCAAGAATGTAAAAGTTTTTACTACGATAACCGATTTTCCCTTTATGTTATCGAAAAAAAATCAAAACTAGTAGATTCTTGCAGGTTCTGGAACAAATCAATAAATTTGAAAATGGTTTGGGGAAACAAGTTTGATAGTTTTACATTTTTATTTCCATGAACTTGAAATAAAAAATTCCACATTTCTCTCTCTCTCTTTCCGTAAAGCATTTAATTTAGAATCTTGGATTTCTTTAAAAAATTGCAAGTATTAATAATAATAATAATTTCGATTCTTATCCTCTATTTGAATTTAATAACATAAACTGTCTATGTGCTCAATCAGTTGTTTTCAAAGAGGGCAGTTTAGTTTTTTGTAAAAATTCCAAGTTTTGTGGCACTGCTCTTAAATATAATTTAAACAAAACCAATTCCACCAGCAAATCAACCGCCCTATCTATATATATATATACACACACAAATGCTATATATTAAACCTACAAACGTTTTTTTTAATTTATACATACTGTAGGCTGTATTAGAATAAAAAAAACTTCTCTCCTGCCTCTACAGGGGCGATATAATACAACAAAATGTAACTTATTTTTTCCTAATCCAAGTACTTTTTCAAGCTTCTGTTATCTTGCATTACTGTTTTTATACCACCCCCCAGTTTCCACTTAGTTTCCCCCTCCTTTCGTGGCTAACTTTTTTGTAAACTTTTTTCTATTGCTTGATCTTAAGCAAATATTGTTTATTTTTAATTTGTTTTTTTTTTTTTCATATAAATACTGCTTATCGCGTTTTAAGAATAAATCCTGAAAAACAAAACCCCCTCAAAAATATTTAAATATTAAAAAAAAGAAAATTTTTCTGTTATACAAGTGCTTCAAAAATAAATCCAAACAACAAAAGAAACAAAAAACAACATAATTAGTATCTATTAATTATTAAATTATACAAAAAAATGAAGAAAGCAAAAAAAAAAAACAATTAAACCTATTATTTAAAAAGTAAAATAAAAACAAATCAATTGAACTTTTTGAATTAACAAATTAATAGCATTAATGCGTTTTATTATTGAATAGGGAAGAGTTACAAAAGAAGGGGACTAACAAAAATGATTAATAAGCATTTTTTAAACCCCCTGCCATATGGAGGAGGTATATATCATTTGATACGACGGGAACGTGCCTCATCAAAATAATAGTTTTTACACCCCTAGGTCTCCTTGGACCAAATCCGTTTCAGGAGATTTGGAGTCGATCTAGCGATGTACGTCCACCCGTCCGTTTGTCTGTCTGGCTGGTGCGCACGATAACTCTCGAAGGGAGTATTCGATTTGATCCGAACTTGGCACATCGTAATATTATTGTCAAACTTAGATCGAGTTCGGAGATGGGCAATATCGGTCCACTCTTTCTGGTACCTACCCCACAAAATACCAACAATTACAAAGAAAATAATTTATTGCACAGAAGGAAAAAGGATAATCCGATTTTGCTCCAACTTTGCATATCCTTATATTTGCATCAGTGCTAGGTCAGGTGTGAAAATGGACAATATCTGTCCGCTCTTCCTGGTACCTCCCCCACAACCGGTCAAAATTTGGAATAATTATAACTCTTATAAAATGTGATGTAAGAGTCCGATTGTCTTCAAATTGCATACATCACAATATTTTCATAAGCCCAAGGTATGTTGAGAAGATGGAATATATCGGTCCACTTCTTCTGGTACCTACCCCACAAAGGTTAAAAATTTTGAATATTCATAAAGCTCATGAGATGCGAAATTAACATCCGTTTCTATTCAGACTTGGCACATCTCAAAATTTCCATCAATACAAGATCTGTTATAAAAATGGTAGAAATTTGACCATTCCTTCTGGTACTTCCCCCACAGAGGGTTAACATTTTGAATAACTAAAACGATTATAAAATCCGAAATAAGCATCCGATTCTCTTCATATTGCACACATCACAATATTTTCATTTACCCAAGGTCTGGTGGGAAGATGGAATATATCGGTCCACTCCTTCTGGTACCTACCCCACAAAGAAAGCGAAATAAGCAGTCAAATCCCTCCATCCATCTCCTCAAATTTCCCACATACAAACACAATACAAAAAAGATAAAGATGATATACATCTGCCAACTCCTTCTGGTACCTCACCCACAACGGGTCACAATTTCCAATACTTATATTTGTCATAACTTGCGAAACAAGTCGGCGATTCTTTTCAACTTGCTATATCTAAATGTTTATCTTAACTAGAAATCGCATAAAATTCGATATGATTTCAAATTTTGCCCATACCAATATTTTTATCTGTATTAGATGAAGTATGAAAATTGAATACTTCGGTCCGCTATATCTCTTACCTCACGCATATTTTCACATTTTCCCAAAATTTGCACTCATCTCATATAAAGTGTAGGATGCAGTCGATATAGTCCAAATCTGTCACATTGTAATATTTATATAAGTCTTATGTCAGATACGAATTGTTCAGTATTGGCCAACTGCATCGGAACCTCCCCCATAAAGAGTCAACCGTTTAAAAATCATAAGTCAAGGCTGGGGGTATACATCTGTTGGCAAAACCGACTGATACTATTTTACGTGTTTCATTAGCACTTTTGGGAACCCAAATTGGGTTATTTAACTAAGGCGAATTTTCGGCGCCCTTGTTAAGATATTGACGGTCAAAATAAAATTTGTTAGTCATTTAGAACAAAGGTGAGTTTTTATAACAATTTGTTCGTTTTTTTTATTCTATATTATGAGATATGGAGATGATGTACATAATACAAATTTATTGCCGTAAACTAATAAATACAGATATGTGATGGAAACTGGATTTGTAAATATTTTCTTTTTCGGTGAAACATTGTTTTGAAAATGTATTTGGAGCAGTCTGCCAAAATAGTTTATATTTATCATTCATGCTCAAATATACACAATTTCGATATTACATATTGCTTCGAATCGGTTTCCATCACATAACCCATACAATACTTTTCTCAATGTGAATGCGATGTGATGTGCTGCGAAAGACGTTTATGAAAATTATTCGAAAAATTATTCCAGAAACTAGATCCTATTTTAAATAAATAAAATCGTCTATCTGAATGATTATTTTACATTAACATTGCTTCATCATTTAAGGCCACAAAACCGGAATCTTGGATAATATCATTTTCATCATCACTCTGCTCATTGTTGTTGCCACATTCATCAGGATTATCAACATCCTGTTCACTGAGAATCAGATTGTCATTTACTCGGCTGCCATGGTCGGCCATATAGTTGGGATCTTTTAAAATGTTCTGGGGATGCAGCTTCATATGATACTGAAAAAAATGAAAAAGCAAAAAGAAAATAAATCAAAATATTTCAATATCTCATGAGCATTTACACACCTGCAAATGATGTTTTCTGCGAAAAGGTTTGGAGCAAAATTCACACTTAAATCGTGGCTCGGACACATGTATTGTTGTAACATGCTGCCTCAGCGTTTTGGGGTTGGCAAATTTTTGCGGACACAATTCACAGCTAAATTGGACATTCATATGCTTGAGGATGTGGGTACGTAGATGTTCGGCCATCATATAACTATTGCCACAAATTTCGCATACATGCGGTCGATCACCTACAGAAAATAAACATTAGACAAAATAGGTATTTCTTTTAAAATACAACAGCACCTACCTGTGTGCTGCCTTTGGTGAACTTTTAAATCGGCTTTGGCCAGAAACGATTTGTCACATTGATCACATTTAAAATTACGTATATTATTGTGACGATTCATATGATACTGATAGTGGACTTTTTGATTAAAGGTACGTTGACATATTTCGCATTGATAGGCTGGCGTATCCGTGTGCTTTTTCATGTGGGATGCCAAGCTTCTGGCCGATTTCAATACTGTATCACACAATTTGCAGGCATAAGTCTGGGCATGAATGTAGGTGCTAAAAGAAGTAGCAGAGTGGAATTATTTAGAATGAATGATTTGGTATAAAGTTTAAGGTCCCCTCCCAGATTAATCTTTTTAGCTATCCGGAGAGCCAATTAACTTAAAAATTCTAAATTTTAATTCAAAATTGTTAAAATGTTTTCTCAAATAACAAATGCCTCTCCTCTCCACCTACCTATGATATTTGTAATCCTCGTGTTCGGTAAATATTTCCGAACACTCTGTACAATTGTACACCTTGAGATGTTGATTACTAATCGACAAGGTTCTGCGGCTTGCTATTGATTTTCTTTTCACTTGCGTTTGACATGACTCCACACTTCTTTCACTTGTCACAAAGGATTCAATATCAACATATTGTTCATCGCTACAGGACAATTGTGAATTGATTTCTTCAATGGTAAAATTGTCCAGAGAATCTACTGTTTCTGCATCAAAGTTTTCACTCGCCGTTCCTATGGTATCATTATCCATTGTTCCCTCGTCCTCCTCTTCGTTCAAATCTTCACTTTGTTGTGTATTATCATCAATTACTTTGTATATTTCCATAACATAATCAGATTTATCTAAGGCAACACAGTTTTCTATGTCTTCCTGATCGATGGTAATTTGGTCTTGTTCGGGTTCGGGTACATTTATTTGATTGGTTTCCAAAATATTCTCCATATCATTTGAGTGGTTTTCTTCACTCGCTGTCATGGGCAGGATCAAAACTCCAGCCATAGACATATCTGTTGCCTGTGGCACCATGTAGTGGGGAGTGTTATCCATTTCTGTTGTTCCATGTGTATTATTCACCATTTCCAAATGTTGATTTTCCAGAAAGGCTCTTTCTTGTTTTTCTTCCTCTTGTGGTATAGAAAACTTTTCTTCATCGCCCAATGCCAATAGACCTTCATCGTATAGTGTACTCAAATACTGTAATGTACTGAGGGCCTTTTCCCGCAACTTTCGAAATAGTTTCATTTGTAGGCCACAGCTATTACACAGATATCGAGGATAGTAATTATATGATTCTGGCAACAGCTAAAAATATATATATTTTACTTTTCATTGATATTTCCACAAATTCCTCCCAACCTTACCTCTGTGAAGAGATTCTCATATAGTCTACCACTTTCCGTCAGTGGTGGCGGAATCATGGTTAATTCATTTGCTATTTCATACAAACACTCATAGTCTCCATCCTGATTGGGGCTACGGCACACCCTACAGCTATTTATTAAGTCTGGATTTGAAATTAACATTTCTCCGGGTTTGTTTTCACTTAGAAATGTTGTTCCTGCTTTTCCATAATTTGCATCAGAGCTCTTTGGAACGCTATGGTTCAAATTAACCATTCACAGAATGGAACTGGTTTGGGCAAATTCAAGAAACAAATGATTTAAATTTCTTTGGTTTCAAGTAAAATTATTAATTTTTTAAATATTTATATAACATTTACAAATTAAATATTTATATAATATTTAATAATTAAATATTTATATAATATTTAATAATTAAATATTTATATAATATTTAATAATTAAAAAAAATCAATAAAAAATGATTGCTTTTAAATTTCTCGGAACAACTCTAGTTTAGTAAAAACTCTTAGATTTTTTCGAAATTTTTTCCAGGGGTAGGTATTTTTACCCTTATCCCGGGAAACTATTTTTTTCTTGGGGGACGGACCCAGGACCCCAGATTTTTGACCCGAAAGTCCGGGATCAAGACCCCACCTGGACCCGGATCCACTTACCCGATATAGACAATATGGGTATCGATGGAAAGCTTATGGAAATACCTATCCAACAAGTGGTCACATGAAGGGGTAAGTTGTCATGGTTCAGAAGTTATAGTCAAATTATCGATTTTTTGGACCCGGATTTTTTATGAAACCCCCAAAAAGTCAAAAAAGGGCCCATTATGGGGGGTCAACAAAATTGTTTCCAAATTATAGCTGACACTCTTACCTTTCAAAAATGCTACAATTTGTGCTAATACCTTTTTCGGGTCCAGAGATATGGGTCTTTCCATCCGCATAACCCGATTCTAACCAGTTCATTAAAATGATGTTTTTAATAAAAAAAGTGTTTATTTCGCGTAGCAGTCGTCGGAATAACAAAAGTTTTCTAAATTTGGCTCTTTTTGTAAATAGCCGGCCTTCGGCCGGGTCTTGAGATTTTCACCTATGGGTATGTCCGACACCGGCTAACGCGAACAAAAGGTTTATAATTTCGGCACTTTTTGTAAATAGCCGGCCTTCGGCCGGGGCTTGAGATTTTCTCCTCTAGGTATGTCCTACACCGGCTAACGCGAACCAAAGTTTTCTAAATTGGATACCTTTTGTAAGTAGCCGGCCTTCGGCCGGGGTTTGAGATTTTCTCCTCTGGGTATGTCCTAAACCGGCTAACGTGAACCAAAGTTTTCTAAATTTGACACTTTTTGTAAATAGCCGGCCTTCGGCCGGGGCTTGAGATTTTCTCCTCTGGGTATGTCCCACACCGGCTAACGCGAACCAAAGTTTTCTAAATTTGACACTTTTTGTAAATAGCCGGCCTTCGGCCGGGGCTTGAGATTTTCTCCTCTGGGTATGTCCCACACCGGCTAACGCGAACCAAAGTTTTCTAAATCGGATACTTTTTGTAAGTAGCCGGCCTTCGGCCGGGGCTTGAGATTTTCTCCTCTGGGTATGTCCTACACCGGCTAACGCGGACCAAAGATTTCTTAATTTCATTCTTACGCAAAATATACCATTTTTTATTGAAAACATAGTTTTAATGAACTGGATAGAATCGGGTTATGCGGATGGAAAGACCCATATCTCTGGACTCAGTGAAGGTATTGGCACAAATTGTAGCATTTTGGAAAGGTAAAAGTGTCAGCTATAATTTGGCATCAATTTTGTTGTCCCCCATAATGGACCCTTTTTTGACTTTTTGGGGGTTTTATAAAAAATCCGGGTCCAAAAAATCGATTATTTGACTATAACTTCCGAACCGTAACATCCTACCCCATCATGTGACCACTTGTTGGATAGGTATTTTCATTTGCTTTCCAACGATACCCATATTGTCTATATCGGGTAAGTGGATCCGGGTCTAGTCGGGGTCTTGAACCCGGACTTACGGGTCAAAAATCTGGGGTCCCAGGTCCGTCCCCCAAGAAAAAAATAGTTTCCCGGGATCATGGTTAAAATACCTACCACTGAAAAAAATTTCGAAAAAATTGAAGAGTTTTTACTAAACTAGAGTTAAGCCAATTTCTCAATTAATAACCCAAATGTTATGCAAATTAAAAAAGGGAGATTTGTTTGTAATAAATGCCTGTGTGGCCAGCCATCTTTAAATGAATGCTAACGAAATTATCAGCTGTTTGAATGTACTAAATGAACAGGGTGAACTAAAGAAACTAGTTGCCATAAAGAGACGAAAGGAACTAGTTCTAATAAAGTCCCTATCACAGAACCGTTACATTGAACTTAATCATTTCGGTAGGCTGCAATAGCAAAACAATTCTGGTGATTCCCAGAGAAACCGCCAATCAAACCATACTCTTCACCATGGCATATCGTCGTAAAACCTTGATGGATCGCATCAATGACATAGACATCGAGGATTTACAATATGTCGAAAGGGATTTGTGTTTCTATGAATTGGTAAGCATGTAGAGGGGGGGTCACTCCTAAACCACCATGACTAATCCCATCTCTGTGAATCCTTGTGCTCTAGGTATCTTTGGGATTTCTATTGTATGGTCGTGAGAAAACCACCGCTGAATATATTTTACAAAAACTTATTGTACTGCAACAAAATCCACCGCAAGGCAAAGGCTTGGAGTCGACGAACAGTGATATACTACGCAAATATGCCACGATAAACAGTCACACTTGGCAGCTAAATATAATCGAAGCTTTGGCTATTATTCGTGCCAGGAAGGTACTACGAAAATTGGGATTCGTTTGGCAGGAACTTCGTGATATTTATTTACCCCATCTGCCCGAAATCAGTGTTCACATACATCCCATGCTAAAGGCGCTCTACAAGATTTGTGAACGTCTGTCCACTACCCAGGCCGGGCGTATGGTAATGAAAATCAATGAAATGCATTTACAACGCGAGGCACACAATCTACGTTTCTATGACTATGAATATTTGGAAGTGTTCCTCTTGTTTTGGATAACAAGAGATGTCATTTCAATTGGCAATCAAAATCTCCAGGGTGTAGATATATTGAATTTGAAGGCATATTTCAAGGAAAATGATTTGGACTCAATGAAAGCCATAGTAGATGATACAATTAATCATAATTTTGGACGCCGTGACAATGTGGTGGCAAGTGATTCAAATGGTGATAGACCAGGACCAATACATGGGCACATAGGCGGTGCTCTTACTGCAACACCAGGTGCAGCAGGCATGGCAAATTGTCGTCCAGATGGGGATACAAATCAAGATTCTGGAGCTGTAATGGATTCTCTGGATATGCACTCTGGCGAACAGCAACAACAGCCAGGTGTTCAAGAAGCAAACAACTCGCCATCCACTGAGGAAATACATGAAGAATTCGATCATACCGAACGTTATTTGATACGTACAAAGCATGCTGGTTATGTTTTAATTATAAATCAAAGTGATTTCTATCTGGACACCAATCCGGAATTTAAGGTAAAAATTATTTTCATGATTTTTTGTTTTTTTTTAATTTTCTTTTAATTTTCTTTAATATATTGCAGGAACTCTTGCCCGAAAGACCCTTCAAAAAACAACGTGCTGGCACTGATGTTGACCGGGATAAACTCAAAGAACTTTTCTCTTCGTTCGGCTATACGCCGGTGGTGTGCAATAATCTAACGCACGAAGAAATGCAAAACACAATACGGGACACCGTCCAAAGATCTCTGCTAAGAGACTCACTTATTGTTTGTATATTAACTCATGGCATGGAAGGTGTTGTCTATGGCTGTAACAGTGTGCCAGTTAGCATAAATCAAATAAAAACCATTATGGCCGATGATTCGCTGAGGGGCAAACCTAAATTGTTGATAATACAAGCATGTCAAAAGAACATTGCCCCAGTGGATACGGTGAGATTTTTTCTTTTGGTGGTTTATAGCTATTTTTTTAATAATAATATTCTAATACCCAGAGCATTTCGAATTCGAAACGAAACTTGGAAGTTGATACCTATGCTGATATGCTAACAGCAATGTCCTCCATACCGGGTACTGAGGCCCTACGTCACACCATATCGGGTAGTTGGTTTATCGATTCATTGTATAAACTCACAAACAAGTGGTGTTCACGGTAGGGATTAGCTTTACGCATGGCTTTTTATGATGTATTTTTTATTTGTTTCTCTTTTTTTATTTTTCGCCAGAAAACACATGCTGGATATATTGACAAGTGTTACAGCCGATGTGGCCAAAAGACGTGACAAACAAGACTATATGTTACCCATTATGAGTTCCACTTTGAGAAAAGATTTCTTTTTACCTCCACGCATTTGACGAAAACTATGTAATTGTAAAGATCTTAGGTCCTCTTTCTGTATGGCGATAGAAAAATGAATGCATAAGAAAAACACCATTGCAAATGTGTTTTTCAGGTCCTTACCAAGACGAGTGTGTAGCATATGAAGGATCGAAACGTAAACAAAGTTCAAAAAAAAAAAAAAAAAAAAAAAAAAACTTGAGAAAGAGAGTCAATTGTTTTAAGAAGAAATTGAGCTGAAGCGATAAGCGAGTTTTCCTTTATCATGACGGGAAAAGTTGCAAAAACAGTAGATTCTTGCAGGTTCTGGAACAGAGCATATGTTTTTATTGAATACTTCAATTCAAGCAATCAGTAGACTCTCGGTCAAAGTTGAGCATTTTAAATATTAATTTTTCACATGCGTCTCTATCACATGGTGAATAAAATATACGATCGCAGGCATTTTGGTTAAGACTTTGAAAAACCCAAATCTAACCTATGAAAAACATTGGCATGCATAAACAGGCCCTTAAGCTTATTTATTTAGAGTATATGGTATTATTGATTATAATTTTATTTTTGTTTTTTACAAGTGTTTTTATAAAAGTAAAGAAAAAATATTTGATAAATAAATTTTTTTAAGACATCACAATTTGTAACTATTCAATAAAAAAAAAGTAGAGTAGACACATTTTGAAAATCATAAATCAATCATGAATATATAAAAAACCACGTGTAAACATGAAAAAATATATTTAGTACCAGACAGTTTTCCCGACAGATGTATGGTCCGGTCTCTACCATCTTTATAACAGATCTTGTGTTTTTTGAAGTATACTACAGCCTATGACAGAAAAATGTTGTGCAGGGCCACGACTTCGTATAGCCCCCATATAACAGCACCTCCCGATATTCGGTATTTTGATGATTTTAGCAACATTATTCATCAGAATTGTTTCAAAGTTGGCATTTGAAGTTCGTAATGGAGGCTACAGCCCAAGACAGAAAATTGTCTGTGCAGGTCCACGCCTTCGAATAGCCCCCATATAACAGCACCTCCCGATATTCGGTATTTTGATTATTTTAGCGACATTATTCAACGGTATTGTTTCAAATTTGGTATTTGGAGTTCGTAATGGATGCTACAGCCTATGACTGAAAATTTTCTGTGCTGGTCCATGTTTTTTTGTAGATCCCATATAACGATACCTCCCGATATTCGGTATTTTTTTTTTAAGTTCGTAAAGGATACTGCAGCCCATGACAGAAAATTATATGTGTATGTCCATGTCTTCGTACAGCCCTCATATAATGTTACCTCCCTATATTCGGTATTTTGATGATTTTAGCGACATTATTCACCGGAATTGTTTCAAATTTGGTATTTGAAGTTCGTAAAGGATACTGCAGCCAACGACAGAAAATTGTCTGTGCATGTCCATGTTTTGGTATAGCCCCCATATAATGGTACCTCCCGATATTCGGTATTTTGATGATTTTAGCGACATTATTCACCGAAATTGTTTCAAATTTGGTGTTTGAAGTTCGTAATGGATGCTACAGCCTATGACAGAAAATTTGCTGTGCAAGTCCACGTCTTTGTATAGCCCCAATATATATAGGTACCTCCCTATATTCAGTATTTTGATGATTTTACCTACATTATTCACCGAAGTTTCGCATTTGAATATTGTAATGGCCTTTGACAAAAGTTGCCTATGCTGGTCCACGTTGTCGTATAGACCCTAAAATAAGGGCTACATTCGGTATTTTTAAGATTTTAAAAGAATTTTTAAAGGATTTTATTTATTTATTTTTTTTTTTTTTTTGAAAATTGCCAACTTCGTTCCAAATGGTGGAGGGTGTACAAAGATGGGGCCGGCCGAACTTACAGTTTTTTTTTACTTGTCATTCTATCCAATTGATTTATAATTTACGATTTAAGGTGGGAATACATAAAGTGCTTATTTGGCTGGCTTCTTCGGAAATGAAAAAAGGAGCCTAGGGCGAAAAACGAACTAAGTCAACCTAAAACTTCTTTGTTTCTCTACGAAGAAGCCAGCTGATGACTTATATATTCCCACCTTTAGTCCCAAAAGTCCCCGGCCCCATTAACTGTTCCTAAAATACAAAAAATTCTCCCAAATTCGTTTGTTTTTGTTAAACTTGTCTTTATTTATAATTTCATTTGTTTGGCATTATATATTTTTTTTATTTTTGTTTAAAATTTACATTTAATTTTTGTTGAACTTAATTATACATGTTAGTCATTTATTTAACTCTGGCCTCTAGACATAGTCTCCCGCACATACACATTTGTTTAGGAGATTTTACTTAAATCAACAAAAGTTTTTTTTGGTTTTATTTAATTTTTTGTTTTAATACTATTTATTTTATTCTATACATATGTAGGCTTTAGTTTTTTTTTATTTATTTGAGATTTGAACCAAAAATTTTGTGTACATATCCGTATATAAACAGTTATAAATAAGAAACACGTCATAAAAATTGTTACATTTTAATTGGATTAAATGTGATATTAAGTACTAAATTAAAAAAAATTGTTTTTATATATGTTTTTGCATTTTTTTTTTCACAATATTTTATTGATAAAAATAAATTCCATTCCAATTGATTCTAAGTTTCATCAAACTTTTGCAGCAAAACATATTTGGGTGAATATAAATTTAACGTGTGGCCAGTCAGCTTTACAATATAACATGTGACCTAACAGCAGGTTCACACATAGGAAATCAATATTCATTTCATTTCAGAAGAATATAGGTAGACGCATCGACACAGCTGCTGGAACAATGAATTGTCAAACCAATTTTGGAATTGAAAATGCTGAATGAAAAATTATTTAAATTTATAAAAATTGTTGAAAAACGCGTATTATAATAATCTCTGAATGACGTCGTATAAGAAAACATTTAAAAATCAACTTATATTTGAAAAGACATTTAAAATTTTTTGACATATCAATGTTCCCAAGCGTTGGTGCATCTACCTGTATTCTTCTACCGAGTTTCCATTGCGTATATGAAATACCATGGTAGAAGAATACAGGTAGACGCATCGACACAGCTGATTGTACAACGAACTGTCAAACACACTTTGAAATTGAAAATTTTAAATGAAAAATTATTTAAATATGTAAAAAAATTTAAAAAACGCGAATTTTAGTAGCCTCCGACTGACATAGTATAAGGAAACATATAAAAATCTACTTATATTTGAAAAAACATTTAATTTTTTTACACATTAATGCTCACAAGCGTTGATGCATCTACCTGTATTCTTCTGCCATGACACTAGAATTGTATATAAATCATCTGGATTTCAAATATGTAAACATGGCTTGAGGCTACGTCACATCATGGTAGAAGAATGCAGGTAGACGCATCAACGCTTGGAAACATTGATATGTCAAATTTTTTAAATGTTATTTTCAAATATGAGTAGATTATTATATGTTTTCCTATATGACGTCAATTGTAGGCTATTATAATAGAATTTTTAAAGTTTTGAATAACTTGTCATTTAAAAATTTCAATTCCAAAAATTGTTTGACAGTTCATTGTCCCAGCAGCTGTATCGATACATTCTCCTTTATTCTTTTGTTTTCATATCAAACTTAGTTTTATTACCTACTGGCAGCGAGCAGCAAAAACAAACAAATTTCAGATTTATATAAAGAAATGTTTAAAAAATATCATTTCTTTTATTTACGTTGTATTTTTATACAGTATTTATTTTTTTTTTTTGGTTTTAGAAAAATATTTCTTTTTTCTACAATGTTTATATTTCATATTAATTTTTTACTTTATTATGAATTTGTTTTTCTTTTTTGTTATCGAACATTTAATCCTACCACAGTTTGAGGACTCATTAGAACTTAAAAACAATTTTGTCGTTTTGTTTTTCTCTCTTTCGTTTGTACTGACCTGATCCTTCACATAAAACAATTAATAAAAAATAATAATAAAAAAAGTTTTGCCGTTTATATTGCGATTTTCACAATAATTGGGATTTTCCATGGAGATTTGTTTAATTATGAATTTCCGACACAAAAATTACGCATTTTACACTTTTATGCCATGTTTACGTTAGAACTTTTTGCAGGGTTAACCTACTTCAAGAGGATTTATTTGAAGTATAAGTAATGGATATGACAATTTTAATCCAAATCCAGTGGTTAACCCACATTTATATGTAAACGTACTGTTACTCATGGTAGAGGAATATAGGTAGATGCAACAATGCTTGGGAACATTAATATGTCAAACATTTTAAAGAGTTTATCAAAAATAAGTAGATTTTTATATGTTTTTCTGTGCGACGTAAATCGGAGGTTGTAATGATTTGTAAATTTCCAAAATTTTTACAAATTTCAATAATTTTTCATTCAAGATTTTCAATTCCAAAATCGGTTTGACAGTTCATTGTCCCAGCAGCTGTGTCGATGCGACTAACTGTATTCAAACCAATTTTGGAATTGAAATTCGAAAAATATTATTGAATTTGGAAAAATATTCAAATTCGTAAATTTTTTTAAGAAAATGTATATCACAACAAGCACCAATTGGCGTCGTATAGTAAAACATATGCAAATCTACGTATTATTGCAATTTGTTTTGACATTTCACTGTTCTTAAGCATTGATGGAACTGACTGTATTCTTCTACCATGCTACTTGTCATATGTGCATTTCTAATTATTGATAAAGGGTTCTCATGATCGATTTTCGTGACTTTGTGAAATGTGACTTTCTTGTTTGGTAACAATTGTTTTTATTAATGCTCTCTTCCAGAACTGCCGGAATGTAAAACATTTTACTACGATAACCGATTTTTCCTTTATGATATCGAAAAAAAATTGCAAAACTATTAGATTCCTGCAGGTTCCGAAACAGAGAATAAGTCATTATATATACACAGTGAGATGAAAAAACTGCAACCAACTTCAGACTGCTGTCATTTCTAAGCCACTCGTCCGACAGCTTTTAAAATTATTCCAGTGACAGCTCATTATATTGTTTAGAACCGTACGAAAGCATTTTGATGAGATTCTAGAAAAAAAGTTATTCGTGATGGAATTCAAGCGTGATAGTGTGATTTCTTTATATTTGGCTGGAAAACCACAAGTGGCTATCGTTAGAGCACTCCATCATTTAAATGTGAATAAATCTTTTGTGTCTCGTACCATCGCCGTGATACTGGTAGCGTAGCCTGACGAAGTAAAGGAAGTGGACGAAAGAAAACAGCAACATCAGCAGAAAAGTGTCGAAAAGTAAAGAAGCGACTTGAACGAAACCCGCGTCGCGCCGCTTTGGCCGAAAAATGGCTAGTGAGCTAAACATATCGCAATATTCCATTCGGCAAATATTGAAAAGTGATCTCGGGGTAAAGCCATTAAAATTCCAAAAAGTGTAAGAACTTACACCGCAACGGAAAGAAAATAGACTCAAAAGAGCTAAAGAGTTGCTTCGTTTGGCCGAAGAGGGGTGAACTGCCGAATTTGGTTTTCTTCGATGAGAAAACATTCGTTACCAAGCAAGCGCTTCGCCGGGAATGGGCCAAAATACCGCACAGCAACATTCGGGCAGCGTGTGAAGGTTTAATTGGCCGTTTGAAGGTCATGATTTGTATTAGAGGTGACCAATTCGAACAAATCTAAACTTATTCTAAAATTTGATGCTATTTCCGACATTTTTGCTTTCATTCAATGAAATTAAAAAAAAAAGTAAAAATTATGACGTTTGCCTTTGCTGCAGTTTTTTTATCTCACCGTGTATATAAAAAT